TGTGCACTCATATGTTGCATATTTTGGAAGATTCCACGGGTTAGTAAATTTTCCAATCGTGCTGGAAAGTTTCTCCCCATTTCAAAAAGAGAGGTTGGATCTAGTAAACCATCAGTATCGTCTTGTTCGACATAATAAAAATCTCCAGCCATATCATCTCCGATGAGGACGTCATCTTCTTCATCTTCAACATTTTCCAGCATTGGAGCATTGTCTGAAAGAGATTATATTGTACAGTGTAAGTTCAATTTCCATCACGATGAAAAACGTGTTTTTTTGCATGATGAATCAATTTTGATCAATTAACAACAAGTATTAATAATGTAGAAAAATCATAGTCGATGATAAAATATGAAATCGAAGGTTGCAATTTAAATCATTCATCAAACAACAAGATTAATATTTCCATCATCATGATCGGAACATGTCAGATAAAAATACCAAAAATAAATAACAATAATTATTGGATGATCAATAGACAGCATCAATGAAAAGATCTTTCAAGCCGTCGGCTCCTACAAGTATTTTAAAAACTTACCAAAATTCAAAACGTTTTCATCATCTTGTTCAATTGTATCCTCCTCTTCTTCCTCTTCCTCTTCTTCTCCTTCATCTTCTTCAACAACACCAGGAGGTTCTTCATCATCCTCGCCTTCCACGCCTTCTTCCATTTCCTCATCCTCCATAGAAGGTTGTTCATCCTCTCCCTCTCTTAACTCATTATCAATCTCAACTCCTGAATTAATAAAATTATGAAGTTGCTCCTCAAATTCGTTTAGATCCATTTTTTTGTAAAGTTCCTTTTCTGCCAATTCTCGAACCAACAACGGTACGAAATCGTCTAGGTTTAAAAAGAAAGATACAGTAATTTCACTCTTAACCATCCTCACAACTTCTCACTTAACTCCAGGCTATCTCTTTACAGGGTTTGGCTAAAGTTATTGGTGTGCCCAATTCGTCACCTACTTTCCTTTCTCAAATTGTAAATATTCAATCATTCCACAAAACGACGTTTCTTTCATCACATTAAAAAAAGCACAAACTGAATCTTGCAAGTTCAGCACCTATCGAGTTAACTCGTTCGTCATATTTATAAACTGAGAGAGTTGTATCCAATTATCCAATACAACAACAACAGCACTTGTCACAACAATAACTAGACTTCAAAACATCCAAATTTTGAATTCATCTCTACTACAATGCCTCTCCTAGTATTCAATAAAAAGACTCGTGTGCCATCCATGGATATGGACGAACAACACGAGCGAGAACGACAATTTCAGAAACAACTTCAACAAAAAGTACACGACGAAGAAGACTTTGATTCCTGGAAGAATGCTGATAAACAGAAAATCAACAACTCGTCACTCTCTGTACAAGCTTCTTCTTCACGAGGAAGATCCAAATCCGAACATCAACAAAATACAACAACCTCCTCTCCATCATCACAAAATGGAGAAAAAAGCTCATGGTTCGGACGCGGAAGATCTCAATCAAACAAACAACAACCTTCCTTGACAGTAACATCTCCATCAGATGCTGTGGAAGAGACTCAAGAAGGAGTTTCTAAAGAAGAGATGAGAACCGGCAAGATGCAACACCAACACACCAAGAAGAAGGGACAAGTTGGCGATTATGAAGAGGATCATGAGGAGGAAAGACAAGAAATTCCAAAGGACGAACAAAAGGTGAAGAGGAAATACAGTTTAAAGAAAAAGAGTGCTGAATTGTTATCTTCTGATGAGTGAGGGACGTGTGACCTGTAATTTTATACATTTCAATGAAAACATGTAAACTGTCAACAGAATGACTAAAAATGTCCATACGATCACAATGTACAAAAGATTTCATAAAAAATTGAAAGAGAGAATTAATGTATTGATTGACTTGATGATTATTGTGAAAAGAACCCATCCATGAAGTTAAATAAGGTATTGATCGTGAATGAGCATGTCACAAGTGTCAACTCACTAAAATTCATCCCTACGTTTGAATTCAAAATTTCAACTCAACTCGAAAGTGACTTCCTGAGAAATTGCTCTTGTGTTGCAATGTCAAGATTTCTATTTAATAAGTCGATCATTTCGAACTGCTCCAGCCTCCTTATAATATCTCAACAACATTCTCTTTTCCAAATCACTTGCATACTCCTTCTTACTGAACTTGTCCAATTCATATCCAATCACTAAAGAAACACCCAATGACAAGGCAGCATAAAAAGGAATTCTTCTTTTCGTTCGCTTCACCATTTCCTCTCTCTCCATTTCCACTTGAAAAGGACTAAATTTTGGTTTGTTGTGCATGAATTGATTCCACTCTGTTTTCGATTCGTCAAAAAAGTGAGACGAAATCTTTTCATCCTCTTCTCGAGTTTTCTTTTGATTCAATCGATGCATTTGTTCTCTAAATACCTTTTCTTCTTCACTCAAATTTTCAACATCTTCCTTTCGTGATTGATATCGATCCGATTGATGAATGTAATGATACATTTTCCTCCTCATGGCTGAATCATAGGCAACCGTATTGAGATTGGTTCCGAAAATACTACTCGAACTATTCATAATTCTTCCAAAATGTGTTCCAATATCCAATTCCCGATCGTATTCTGCTCTCTTTTCTTCATCACTCAATAATTCATAACTATCCTGAATATCGAGCCATGCCTGCTCATCTTCCAATGAAAGTACTGCTGAATTGGATGGTTTTCCAGAATCGGAAATGAGTTCGGAAGCATTATTGTTGGTCACCACTCCATTCATGATGGAATTATTATTCGTTGAAGAAGGTTTTTTGGCATCGGGATGGTACCTTTTTGCTAATGCATAATAGGCTTTTTTAATTTGTTGTTTGGAGGCTGAACGAGGAACTCCCAATACTGCATAGTGATCCATGATTTGAGTGGGTAATTTCATGTTGTGTGATTTGTGTTTGTTTGTGTGGTGTTTGATGGTTTTTTTGATGATAATGTGAAATTATTGTAATTATAATAATTATTTGAAACTAAATAATGAATTCTATTTCTAGTAATAAATATGAAATAATTAGAGGGATGATGAATATGATTTTTGAAATGATAATAATTATTTTTCAATTGTCTAAATGGATTTGCACCAAAGTGTTGTCGTCGACGGTTATTCGATTCTTTCTCTCCGATGAAAAGATGACACTGGTGATAATTAACGACAAGAGGTTGACGCGAAAGTGGGTGATGATGATGCAGCTGTTAATTGACTTGTTTTTGTTTGAAAAAATGCTTTAAAAGGTGTTTTAATTTGAAAAATGGCTAAATTCGGCCCGAAGTACAGCTATTGCTCCGACATTTGACTTTGGGTGTTGTATAAATGTAACATGCTGTTGTTCTTACAATTAGAGTCATTCACTCCTGCATTCTCTAATGGTGTGATGGTTTGGAAAAGAATCGTTCGTGGTGGCGTTGTAAAAAGTACCGCCGAGGAAATTTTTGAGCGTCCAATGAAAATCCAACAAAAATGCCGCCACCGCCAAAATTCTTTCCGTTAAACTTTAAAATGAAAAACATGCATCTGCCAGCTGTCAACAACGGCTTAAAATTTTCACAGAGCGCCTATCGTCACTTGCTTCAACAACAAAAAAAACAAGTCAATCATCTCATTACCAGATAATTGATACCACAACAACACACTCCTAGAAAGAAGAACACTAATCACACACTCTAACACAAAATGAGAGAAGTCGTTTCATTGCACATTGGTCAAGCCGGTATTCAAGGTAAGTCATGAATCATCCACACCTTTTTCATCATCCATTTGATATTCTTTTCATATGAATTTTACTCCTCCATATCCACAACAATGATAAAATCATTATCCATGTCCACAACAATGATCATATGATCCACAACAAATATTGAAACAACAACATTGTCATTCAACAATGAATTATATTATTTTCACACAGTCGGTAACGCTTGTTGGGAACTCTTCTGTGCCGAACATGGAATCAACCCAGACGGTACCTCTTCCTCCATCAACGATGCCTCTTCCTCTGTTTACTTTTCTGAAAATTCACGTGGTAAATACGTTCCACGTGCATTGATGGTCGATTTAGAACCTTCTGTCATTGATGCCATCAAAAACACTGAATACAAGCAATTGTATCATCCTTCTTACTTGTTACGTGGAAATGAAGATGCTTCCAATAACTTTGCTCGTGGTCATTACACCATTGGAAAGGACATGCTCGATTCTGCCATGAATTCCATTCGTAAGATTACTGACAATTGTCAAAGTTTGCAAGGTTTTCAAATTTTCAACTCTGTTGGAGGTGGTACTGGTTCTGGATTTGCTTCCTTGCTATTGGAAAGACTTGCTGTTGAATTTCCAAAAAAGACTAAATTGGGTTTCAATATTTATCCAAGTCCTCAATTGACAACTTCCGTAGTTGAACCTTACAACTCTGTGTTGAGTACTCATGCCTTATTGGAACACAATGATGTGTCTGTAGTATTGGACAATCAAGCCATTTACGATGTCTGTAAGAATAATTTGAAAATTGACAGACCCAACTATAAGAATTTGAATCGTGTCATTGCTCAAACTGTTTCCAGCTTGACTTGCTCATTGAGATTCCCTGGATCTTTGAATGTCGATTTGAATGAGTTCCAAACCAATTTGGTTCCATATCCAAGAATTCACTTCATGTTGTCCTCTTTGGCTCCAATGGTTTCTGTCTCAGAACAATACTATGCCAATAATAATGCTGCTGAATTGACAAGTCATGTCTTTGAACCTAATAACATGATGGCCAAGTGTGATCCAAGAAGTGGCAAGTACATTTCATGTTGTTTAATGTACCGTGGTAAAGATATTGTCAATAAGGATGTGAGTGATGCTGTCAAGGTCATGAAGAGCAAATCGAGCATTCAATTTGTGGATTGGTCTCCATGTGCTTTCAAGATTGGTATTAATCAACAATCTCCAACCATGTTGCCAGGAAGTGAAATGGCTCAAGTCGATAACTCTTGTTCCATGATTTCCAATAACACTGCCATTGCTTCTGTCTTTGCTAGAATGAATGACAAGTTTGACTTGTTGTTTGCAAAGAGAGCATATGTACATCACTTTGTTGGAGAAGGAATGGAGGAAGGTGAATTCAATGAAGCTCGTGAAGATTTGGCTGCTTTGGAAAAGGACTACAGTGAAATTAGTAAGGATACTATTAGTGAAGAGGATTCCATGTTGGATGAAGGTGAAGAAATGCATTAAGTTCATTCATAATGATCAATGATGCCACAAGTCAAATTCTCTGTGCGCCTCCTAATTAGTACTACATGTAAACGATGATCATGTTTGACGAAGGTTCATACATGCATCTCAAATAAAACTATTAATATTTTAACAATTCAAACTCTAGAAATGATTTGAGCGTTCAAGAAAATTATTAAGCACTGGTTCTTAGTGAAGAAATTTACTGATTGAATTGCGTAAACAAGGTTTGCAACGATTCCAAATCCAATTTCAAATTCAAAGACGATACTGTCGTTCCTATTATGGTATTAAGAGGTTGAATTATGAATGATGACTCTTCACCAATTATTAAAGTCTTTCTTCGAGCACAATCAATCATTCGTTGCACCACATGTCCAAATCCTCGAAAAACTTTCACAAATCGTTTTCCCAGCAAACTAGCAGCCAATAAATCTCTTTCCAACATGTCATGGTAATATAAAAATTGTTGCCTCAAATCGTTATTCATCAATTTTGAATCTTCTTGATTAACTTCATGCTCAATTTCCTCAATGGCTTCTGCATGTGCTTTCCATCCAAGTGCAATTCCACTCAATAGAAAAGGAGGAATATGTCCAAATAATGGATGTGACGAGAGGCGTGTCAATTCTTCAGTCACCGATCGAAGTTCTCTTCCTCGTAGCCCTAGTTCTCTATAAATTCCTAGTCGATAAGAAACCATCGTAATTGAAATAATTAAATGAGCTAAAATTTTCCCCTTTTCTTGTACATTCTTTTTTGCATTGTCGTATTTGGTGTAGCATTCATAAATTTTGTCCACAAAGTACAAATATTTTGGGAGAGTATCTTTTTTAAGTGGTTGACTGAGAATGGACATTAATTCTTCAGGGACCGTATTGGAGCTTGTACTGTATTTGTATCCTTCCAGTAATTTTCGTTGAATATAATTTGAAACTCCTTCAACTTGTTCATAATCGAAATCTTGTGTTATAAAAGTTGCAAGTACACATCCTCGTTTGAGACATGACAGGGAGTCGTCCATTTCTTTGATTTGTGACAGATAGGATCTTGTAATAGCGACTAATTCAGTAGCATCTTGATCCATAGAGGATGCAGCTGCATAGGATGCTAAATAACAACAAATCGCAGCTACTAAATAACTAGGTCGATCCAAATCAAGATATTCCGAAAATAGTAATTCCTTACTTCTGTAAAAAGATCGAATTGCATTTTCATTATTTCCAAATCTCTGATAACAAAAACTTTGAATGGCATACAGCAATGAAAAATATTGGGTACTGCTTCCATAATTTTCTCTCTCAGCGAGTATTGTTTGAAAAGTATTTCTTGGAATTATTGACACACCAGCACTCACCACTCCAAAGAAAAGATCCACCGTTTGTTGTTGCAAGACCACTTGAGAAAGAACAGCGTTTCGTTCAAAGGTACAATACACAGCATCGTCAATGACTTGGGGAAGAGTATGGTTGAGAGATTGTTGTACATTGATGGTTGTTGGAAGGAGGTGTTGAAATGTTGGATCAAAATTTTGGTTTGTGTTCGAGTGTACAGTGGAGGTGGCGGTCGCCATGGATAATTGTTGTTGAAGGAGTGGCATGATTTGTGAAGCATTGGTTAGTTTCACAAGGAGTGATAATAAACGATTAATGACGGATGGATCTGCATTGTTTTGAATGGCGTATTGAAACAATTGTAAAATTCGTTCAATAGTTGCTGAATGGGAGTTCATCGATGCAGAAGTGTTTCCTTGAGAATGGGGTTGACTTTCAGAATTCACTGGTGCTTGATTTGAATGATCCGAATGATCTTCTTGAGTTGAGTGACTGCTTGGATCAAATTGTAAATTGTGAAAATTAACGGAATGCAGAGCAGCTCTCTGATTCATTTCATCTCGAATATTCACTTGTGGTTGTTGTTGTTGTTGAGAAAGTGTCATTGATGATGGGAAAGACAAGTTTAGAAATGGTGAGTGTTGTGAAGGATTGGGTTGAACTTGTTTTTGAATTCCACGAGAATGATAATCAGAATCTTCAGCTGATTCCGAACTCGTGATGGATGTTGGTCGCCCATGAGAAGTGGAAACAGAATGAGAAAGGGTTGTTGATGACGATTTGTCGATGTGGTCAAAGTTCGTACCAATCCGGGTTGAGGATGAATGGATCACCTGTGAAGGAATAAGGGAAAAGTTCAGAGTTGGTTTTTCTTGACTGGTCAAGAGAGGAGTGTTGCTACTATTCGAAGTCGTAGGTGTAGTCGTGCTATTCGATTGACTATTCGCTTTCCTTTTTCGAATTGGATTGGTTTTCACATGACCAGTGAATAAATTTAGAGTTGAATGAACCGTCCCAGTGGTTGTTGTTGATGAGGATGCTTGTTGAGAAGAGGTGCATGCAAGAGTCTCTGAGCTGTTTTGAGAAATCGTGGTTGTTGTCTGACCTTTCATTGGTTTTGAAGTTTGTTGCTGCTGAGGCGTTAAGAATGAAACACTCACACACTTGTGATTCTGTTTTCCCTTTTCAAAACTTTCCAAACCAAGAACACTTATGGTGACTGGTTTCTTTTTTTGAATCTTGTTTTTGCTACCCACGGTTCGACCTCTTTTCTTGGCTTCAGGATAGACACAGATTTTACCTTTCGAAGTGCATTCATGACATGCTGGCAACTGACGTCCACAGCGTTTGTGTCCTCTTCGACACGTGATGCAAGAAATGGCATTAAAATTAGCAGACATTGTTTCTAGATCAGAATTTTCAAGAAGAATTGCATTCAATGATACCCGTTGTTGCTCTTCTTCCTGAAAAGTATCAATGATTGATGCATGTATTTCTTCGGACCATGATGAAAGTGGAATCTCATGCAGGGTCGAGAACTCGCTTTCATGAATCGCCATGAGTTTCCGATGTGAAGACATTGATTCATCCTCCTCTCGCTCCTGAAATAGTGGTTGTGTGTGACTCTTCGTTAATTCCTGTTGTGATGGTTGAGTGGATGGACACGATGGATACACGATTGAAGACAACACGCCTTGATGATGAGCTAGTTGTTGTACATCCTCCTGATGCTTCTCCTCCTGCTCTTTATCCTTCGAAGGTGGTTCTTGAGAGTTGTTGTTATTATTATTATCGTCATGATTAAAACTACGATCGGTCATCATAATTCTGCGTCCACCACAAGCATTATCATGACCTTGCATGACTTGTGAATTTTTTTTATGCCGCTTACACTCATGGCTCTGTTTGTCGGAATAAGGAATGTGCACAACCAGAGAGGAGCTGAAGAGTTTGGGTTCACGAAACGGAATTGGTAAGCGATGAAGTGAAGAGTGAATCCAGTCATCCGTTTAAAGTGGTGCTGTTGCTTGAATGAACATCCGAGAGCATGAAAATGGTGCACATGGAAAATACTTGATTTTTCCGAAAGGCTTTGATTTTAAAAAGAAAGAGCTCGGGAACGAAATGTGAGTGTTGTAATTCGAATGGAGTTTGCTCTTTCAGAAAATCAAGTGAAAAAAGTGAGCCAATCATTATACTATTAAAATTTTGGATATAAGGCGTGTGTTGTTTTTACAGCTACTACTACACTGAGTCACTACACTTGTTCTTACTGTAAATGAGGTTTGAAAGCCCTCGTTGTATTTTTAAACGATTTACAACTGAAAAAAAATGCTCAGCGCCGAACAATACGAAAGAATTTTGAGGGAGTGGGAAACAACGCCATCCTCGTCATGGTCCGCCCTTAATTCAGTGACACAGAAACGTGCTATTCAAGTCGATGAAGAATATGATGAAGAGTTAATTTGTAGTGGAGCCAACGATTGCATGAGAAGATCAAATCAAACTCCAACGAAAAGAACGTCCGAATACAACGATCATGGTCATCATGATGACTATGGAAACACAAATGATTCTCCATCAGCACATTATTCATCGCCTTCTTCTTCTATGCAATCTAAACAACATGTATCATCACCTGTCAACAATTTCAACGATCAAGTGCACACCCCTCGAATTACTGTTGACTTGATCAGGGATCTGTGCTCTCGTCAGCATTTGTATCAAACTCCGTATCTCAATGATAAATTGTTCCTTCACTTCAAAGGGTTTAGAAAAATTGAAAATCTAGAGTTGTACACAGAGCTAAAGGCTTTGTGGTTGGAGGGTAACGCAATTACTGTAATTGAGAATTTGGGACATCTCACCAAACTAAGATGTCTCTACCTCAACCAAAATCTAATCACGAAAATTGAAAATTTGGAAGCGTTGAACAATTTACAAACCCTTAACTTGGCAAACAATCACATTAGCGTTATTGAAAACTTGGAAGGTTGTAATCAGCTGGAAACTCTCAATCTTGGAAATAACAAAATCTCGAGCATTGAGAGTTTGAACCGACTTTGTAAACTACCTAGGCTCTCTGTCTTGGATCTTTCTAATAATCAAATTACTGATCCTGAAATTGTTAATATTCTAGCTAAAATTCCGTCCTTAAGTGTACTATATTTGAAAGGAAATCCTGTGGTGGGCTCTTTGAGAAATTATAGAAAACTGTTAATATCTTCAATTCCAAAACTCAACTATCTTGACGAAAGGCCGGTGTCACCTGATGAGAGACGGTGTGTGCAAGCATGGGCCCGTGGAGGTCCATTGGCTGAAGCAGAAGAGAGAAAGAAGATTATTGAGGAAAAAGAAAACAAACATGAAAGAGAGATGAACGCTTGGTTAGACATGCAGCAAAAAGCAGCTGAGAGAAGAAGTCAAGAGGAAAAAGAGGGAGTGTTGAAACGGATGTACTATATTGAAAAGTTGAGGGAAGCAAATCTTCCAAAAGAGAGCGCTTGCCAACCATCCGTTGAACTTCCTGCTTCATCCTTGGTGACATTAGAAAAAGCATCAGTTCTTGTCAAAAACGAGGAGCCAGTACCAGTGGTGGTAGAGCCTTTAAGACAAGAAAATCAACCAACAGAGAAAAAGGTTCAAGTTTTAGAGGGAGAAGGCATCGTTTGGAACTCAGAAATTAGGCAAGTGTTGCTGCAGTCGGTACGGAAAGAACTCTTCAACTTTGAAAAGGTCTCAAAAGCAGTTCAATCATTTGTGTTGAAGAATTACAAAGTGTATGACTCGTCAAAAAAGCTCGTTGAGATGAAGGAAGCCACATCAAACAACAACAATACAATGTTGGTCTCAGTAATGGTGTACACTTCAGACCGATGCAGAATGGAGTATTCACGCTTACATCAGGATCACCAAGACAAGCCCACGCAAGTTCAATTGGAGTCTCCCCTTGTAGAAATTTGGCAGTCCAAGAAATTATTTTAACACTGTGCGCCTAGGCGGTGTCATAAAAGTTTCAATTTTTTGTTTCAATTTTTTGTTGCCTTTTGAATTTAACGGTTTTCAAAAAACTAACCGTTACACCTAAAATTTAAAAAAATGCAACAACAAGCCTTTTACCCCATGCCATCACAATCGCAATTCGTGGAAGCATCTTTCAATTATCAACACCATCCATCCTATGCTCATATGCAACAACCTCCACAACAACCTCGAAAGTACATTGTTCCAGAACAACAAACTCCTTTCCAAGCAGACCCCACAGCTCTCTATGCCATCATGAATAATCAGCAACCACTCGATCCCTACAGTAACCAAAGTGCCAGGTATTCTTATGTTCCAGGAGGCTCCTCTAATCCAAAAACACCAGGAAAATCTCCGTACTCTACCCACCATAATCATCAGTTCATGATGAACTCTAATTTGAACAAGGAGAATGATCATTACAACAATATGAACTATAATTATTCCTTAAATTCTTCAACCTATGCATATCAACAATCCATGATGCAACCTAAAACACCAGGCAAATCCACAATGAATGCTTCTTTTGTTTCCAGCACTGCCATTACTCCTGGACGGACCTCACTTCGGAAGGAATCGTTATGTAAAACTGGAGAAAAAAAGTTTTTACACACACCAAAGAGAGCCACAGCATCTGTTTCCAATAACACCTCGAAACCTAAAACACCACATCAAAACACCTCCCTTCTCAATACAAGCAGCATGTCCTTTAACAATAATAATACCATCTCTACGAATAGCTCACTAAATAATAGTTCCATGATGACGAGTAATAACACTTCGAACAGGTCAAGCAAGGTGAGCAGTAACCAAAGAGCCTCTACAAATACTAGTCAACAAAGCAAGAGAACCTTAGCCTCTGTGAAAGAGAATGACCGAAAATCTCAAAGGTCTCTTAATTCGCAAACGAGCCGTCAATCTCGAGTTCATAACCAACCACCACGGCACTCTCTCGTGTCTGCTCCTTACTCGAAACGAGTGAACACTAGTAGCAACGATGGAGTTCATGGTTTCCTAACCAGCACTGCTTCTTCGTCTACATTGGTCTTTGATAATTGTGACACTTCCAATGATGATGCCTTCATGATGAATACTACCTTAAATTCTTCTCAAGAGTGTTCTGAACAAGATATTTGTAGATTTCTTAATGCTCAATTGCAAAGAAGATCCAAGAATGATTTGAAGGAAATTCTGGAACGATACATTGAACACCATTTAGTGAGTCATAATAACTCGATCATGGAACCTCAAGGTACGAATGATTCTCTCTTCTCCAGTTCGGTGTCATCTAATGCCTCCGTTTACGAAATGGAGAGTGAAGAAACGACTGGCCAAGAAGTCGATTCTGCTTCCACACTCACACAAGCTTCTACTTTCACTGCTCCAAGCTTTAATGCATACCATTCTGTTGCTTCTAATGGTTCGTGTAACACCTCCTCAGGATCTAACTCTCAGCAAATTTCAAACCTTACTCATTCATCCTCTCGAACTTCAGTGTACTCTCATTCTGGTCTCAACTCATCCTTTGTAAGGTATGAGCCAAGCGATCTCATCAAACGTTTATTGAAAGAGGAGGAACAACGATGTCAAGTGATTTCACACGTTGCTGCCAACGCAGCTTGCCCTTCGTCAACTGTGTATCCAATGACCAATCTTCCACAACATTATAGAAGATGAGTCGATTTGACCTTTTCCCTTATGTGCTCTCCGTAAATGGAATTAGAAGATTTGAAAAGCGCTGAAAGGAATCAATGTCTTGAATGCAAGAGCTCTTCAACAAGTGTGCTTTTGTTCAAAAGCATTTCGCCAACCTAATAGAAATTTCTCATGGATGCTCAGTTTGTGTAAATATTTTTCAAAATCATTGAACTAACGAACATATGTAACAACACGATTTGAGAAGTAAAGAAATTTCTTGATACCAAAGATCTATCTTGTGTTTTTAATATGGGTCCACTACATTTACAA